CGGTGACCCAGATGTCTTCTGATCAGAACTAGAGCTGATTGGTTGAAGCTGGAGGCAGCAGCCGTCAACATGGCGGCTCAGAGCGTAAACATCAGGGAGACCCTGAACAGATGAGGTCACAGCAGCGATGAGAGAAACAGCTTTCTATAGGAGGCTGTGATGTCATTGTGACATCACAGCGGCTGGTAGACGTTACTGGACCACAGGCTGTTCTCCATCATAGAGACCTGATCCCAGTGGACCCATCAGGAAACCATGACAGCTCAGGATACGGAAGCTTCTGGAGCTGCTAGCTGCTCATTTAACGCATGTTAGCATGCTAGCGTGTTAGCGTACGTCTGGAAGAACGGGTCACATGACAGTCAGGTTAGCATTGACCCATCTTTAGCCTCAGGAACGACACAGGTTCAACTTTTTTGTCTTTGTTTTTCGTTTATTTTGTGAGAAACCAACAGGAAGTGGCTAGCCCTCATGCTAACGGGTCTGGGAAATAAAAACTCGCTAACGCTCAGAGAATACAAACTTTCCACCATTGCTGTCCACCATTGTCGCCTCAGGACTATGTTTGGACTCTGGCCGTCTTTCCCGCCACCCTCTTTGGCGTCTCTCTGGATGTTAGCGATCTTCACCCCCAGGTCTCTGAGGTGGACTCTGACGCTGGTCAGGTTCCTCTGCCAGGCAGCGTCCGCCATGACGCCAGTGGTGTCCCTTTGGTTTGCGGCGGTTCCAGAGGTTCTCCTTGCTTCCTGAGGATCCCTCAGGTCCAGCTTAGAGCGGCATCGGTTCTCAGACGTAAGCCGCAGTGCTTCGGTCGCCTCGCCTGCTGATCGGTTCTGGACCTTTCGGTTGGTTTCGTCTTTTAAATGTTCAGGATTTAAACTTCCTGTCTCCTGACTGGGAACCAGAGCTGGTGTGGGATCTTCATGGACCAGTCTTCTTCTCTGTTTCATGGGAGGAGGCCCAGGGGTCCTCCTTCCTTTGGACCTCTGTTGTGGCTTTGCTGGGTCTGGATCAGCGGACACGTTGGTTTCAGGGTTCTGACCACGGCTCCACCAACCAGCCGCCATTGTTGCCTTTGAAGCCTCATTCTTCTGCTTCTCCCATGAGCTGGAATCTAATGGACCAACAGGAGGAAGACCAACCAGATGTCCCGATGCTGGAGAGCTCTCCATGGTCCTGCTCTTCAGCACTGGAGGGAAGGACTGTCTGAGACACGGAGGAGGTTCCAGCGGTGGTGGTGCAGGGGGACGGGAAGCATCCAAGCGACTGTCCACAAACTCATGGGAGGAGCCCAGCATGGCGGCCAGCTCTGGGGTGGCCTCCACCAGCTCCACCCACTCCTTCACCTCTGACCTGAGGGAGGCCAGTTCCTGCTCATCTGGACCCGTCAGCAGCTGGGACAGAGACGCCTGCCGGTAGAACTCGTCTGCAGGGACGGACTGAATGTTGAGCTGAGGGAAGAGGCGCCGAAAGGAGCGGGAAGTCATCTGGAGACGGCCGAGGACGTCCTCCAGGAGGAGCCAGTTCCTGGACCTGAAGAGGGAAGAACATCAGCATGAAGTAGGAGAGCTAACAATAGGGGA